TACACACCTACACACCTACACACATACATACATACATACATACATACATAGCCAAATGAGCCCGATACCTTCAGGGTCCATTAAGCCAGCTCCTGATATGTACAATATCAAACGCCTAGCTAAATAGTATATGGCTAAGTGGTACATTGCGAAAACCGAAATCCAGCTCATACATGCTTGTATATATACACATGTGAGTGTATGTAGGTAGGTAGGTAGGTAGGTAGGTAGGTATTAAAAAAAAAAATATATATATATATGGCAACCCCCACCCATGAACTATCGACCCTCGTTTTGTATAGTAAATACCGTGTAAAACGAGCTTTTCCGGCAGGCCCGAATTCTGTATCTCTCAAAGACTACCAAAACCAAACCCAAATTTCAGTAGAACGTGCCAGACAACTTGATCAAGTTTGACGCCAGCACGCACTCCCCGGTAACAGTGTGCTCTTCCAACCAAACACAACTTTCACCAGGAAAATCCAAAAAAAACCAAAAAACATTTTTTGGGACACAATACGGCCAAAGGCCTAAAAGATTGTCTTTTTGGTCTTCCCTTGGAAAAAATGGGCGTTGGACTGAATAAGAAATAATCCCAGGAAAAAAAGTTTTTGTATGGAAAACCAACTTTTCCTAAGAAAAAGATGGTTTTGGACCGCAAAACCAACATTGTTTCGACAACAAAACAGCCAAGAAACGCACTAAACATAGGAAACTATGCGGCCAAAGGCCAACAAACATGTCGTGGTCTGCCCCAGGAAAAAGGTGGGTTTGGACCGAAAAACCAATTTTTCCTGGGAAAAAGATGGTTTTTCTCATCTCTTTCGGTCCAAAGCCACTTCTTCCATACAAAAACCATCTTGGTTTTTCGGTTCGAAACCAACTTATTCCTGGGGAAAACCAAAAAGCAATCTTTTTGGACTTTGGCTGTATAGTTTCCCAAAAGATGGTTTATTTGGTTTTTTGGGGTTTTTCCAAGGAAAAATGTGGTTGTGCGGTCCAAAACCATCTTCTTCTGGGGAAAAATTGGTTTTCCCATCCAAAACCAGCTTTTTTCTAGGAAAAGGTTGGCATTTCACTCCAAGACCAAGCTTTTCCCAGTAAAGAGTATAGTATTGGGGATGCCATGACCTGTAAAGTGTCGTGGTCTTGATGATTGCTCCCAGTGGCCCTAAGTTTTAAAATTTTTTTGTATCAAACCATGCGAAGTTCTGATGAGTTTCTGTTTTTACCAACCCAATTTGAACCAACCAAGCCCATAGAAGCGATTTACACATGCCACTTCGAAAAGGCAGCTTTCACAAGGAGCTCGCGAAATTTAACATGCATACATACACACAGACACGCATGGGTGTGTGTGAGTGCGTGTGCATGCATGTATGTATGTGAATGTATGTATGTATGTATCATTATCAGTGAAGATGGACAGCGAGTCCATGTCACCGGTGATGGGATTGAAGCTGTGCATACGACCAATGCGTCGAAAAGCCCTTTGTGATCACAATTCTTGTCGGACCCTCTATGTCCGCGACTCTCTGATTTTGGTTCATTCATGTCCACCATTTGTTTCCGGGAGCTACGGATCGGAACTTTGTTCACTTTCGGGAGCGTCAAATGACGCGCCATAATATGGACGAGCATAATGCCTGTTGGTTGCAGGTTTTTACGCAGAAAGCCTCCACCGTTCTGAACACCGATAAACCTTCGAGTTTCCTCGCCGACCCAAACAACCAAGGACTCAAGATTAGGTCCCAGAATCTCCATTGTCCCCAGCTTGAAGAATTTTTTGCCCAAGTGCCATGCAGGGAAGAAGGGCTCCAACCTGGCGTCGTCGCTTTCTCTGCTGCGTTGAGTGCCTGCCAGCAGGTCCTATGCTTCAGGGTTTGAGCCGGAAGCTTTGGGTTCCAGGCGTTTGGGGGTTAGTACGGTTTGGGTTTAGGCTGTTCCAGGTTTTGCAGACGCTTTGGAGTTCAGGTTCATTTAAGGACGAATGATTACAAAGAAGGGTCAACCCAGGCCGGTAGGCTTCCACAGGCTTTGGACAAGTGCAAGCATGCAAAAGCCAGTGTTTCAATTTTGGGACTTATAGAATCTAGTTGGGGGTTTAGCATCTAGGAGCTTGTGTGGAAAGTGCTGGATTGAGTCTTCGGATTGGAAGCTTGCTTGGAATGCTGTTCGAGCAACACTCTCAAATCCTGCGAGCACTCCCTTCGAGGTCAGTGTCTCAGCACATCCATCTCATTTCCGGTCCCCTAAGTCCAAGTTTTTTGGGGTTCAATCGTTTGATCCGTAGTCAAACCCAACATCGAGGCGGGTGAGTGGCAGCGGGTGCTGCATCTCTACACGCAGATGACTGCTTCTGCCCTGGAGCCGCTCCTTGGCTGCAAAGGCCGAAGCTGCTAACACTGGATCCCTAACCTGTCTCGCCAGCAGGAACGATCCAGGGCTGAGAGACCAGGACCACGCATCGTTTGCAACTGGACTATGAGATGTTTTTCAGGAACGTGGTCACCGTGGCCTCTGCGCTGGCCTCCTGCGATTCTGTGGCACGCGGCTTCGAGTCGCTGGTACTGCTGGCCAGGTCCACGAAGCTTCCATGTCGGGGTTCGGGCGACGGTGATCTCCTGGAGTTTTGACAGCACAGTGGGTCCGAAATATCTGCACAAGGTCTTGAAGGCCTTGCTTGAGCGCCGAGGTGCTTCAAACTCACCTCCTGCAGCCAAAGCTTGGAAACAAGTGGTCACGTGACCAAAACGAGAGCCTCGATTTTCTCCCAAGCTCCCTGCTTTGGCTCTCGACGGCAGGCTGGAGCAGTGCAGCGAGCTTGGTTGAGCCCGGTTTGGGGCTGGCGAAGCCAAGCAAGTTTGTTATTGAATTCATGGAAAGGCAGTCCTGGGTGGCCTCAGCTCGCTGCAAAAGCTCTGCTCTTGCCGCTTGCCGCTTGTGTAAGCCTGCTGGACCTAACATCCCGAGCTTGTGCGCTTACTCGGCCACCTCAACAAGTCTTGGAAATTTAAAGTTTGCATGTTTTATGTCTCCATGGTCGTGCGATTTTTGTGATGCCCTAGTGGTCAAAACTTGAATTGGGATCCTAGCAGTGTGCGGATGGTCATCTTCTTCTCACACTCATGTTGATCTGAGTTTCACAGAGCAGAGCTGCTGGGCTGTTGTCATGTGGCTTGGGGGCAAAAGGCTTTTGCTTGTGTCAGATGATCGCCATGCAGTTTTTTTCTGGAGCATCCTGGCCCGACGCTTCCGAAGTGTCGGGTTGAGATCTGTGGGCAAGGCATGCCGAGAAGTATCATTCATGTTTTGGTTTCTCATGGCCTCTACAGCCACACGCTCCGCCATGTGTCGCAGACCTGCATTTAACGCTGCTTCTCTTGCCAACATGCAGTTTGCGGGCCAAATCAAGCAGACAAGAAAGAGCAGACAATGAGGCACAACTTTGGAATGAGGGAACAACATCGAACGACCTGCTGCTTGACTACGTCTCAACTCGGAATGTTTCAAACCTCCCCGGATGGCACGCCTAGCCTTTCAAGCTACTCGGGGTATCCCTGCCCACCCCTGCTCCTCAGCACCGCTTGTCATGGGCTGCGCCAAGCGCCGAGCTTCATGAAGCCATGTGCCCAGATGATACAGTTGAGCTTCCTAGTACAACTCTTGCGCAGCAGACCGAAACTCTGCCAAGACAGGTTCGAGACCTCTTGTCGAACTGTCACTTTTCTTTTGATTCGACCGTCTCGCATGCCTGTGTGTGTGCGCAGTCTTCGGATTTGGTGCAGTCCTTTCATACCCAGGACCATGATTTCGCTGTCCGCCTCCCCTTTCATGACATCTGACTCGTGCTTCCTTCTTTTGCCGCACACTATTCCTGAGTCCCATCCGACGAATTAAAACCTTTACGCTCTTCAGGCTGATCCGTCTCGGGCTGAGGGCATTCTCACAAAACTTGTTGCTCATCGTCGTCGTAGATGTCACAAAGCGTGGCAGTCCAATAGATTCGGAAGGCACAATGCCCCCGTTCGAGCATGGAGTCGAGCATGTCGCTCACTTTCTGCAGTCCAAGCCTCGGAATCCTTAGATCCTACAAGCAAATCGACGACATCGATGTCGGCGATGACTTCGTGCTCCCAGAGGCCTGCCTCTGCTTTGGGATCAAGATGAAGATGTGCATTTCACGGTGATTTTTGCCTCAAGTGACTCTGCAGTTTCATGGAGTGTAGCCTTTTTGGAATAACACGCAGCTTGATGCCTCCGACTCTTTCGCAACTGCACATTTTTGGGCCGGACATCTCAGATGGATGCAAGTTATTGCTCCGTGCTTTGGGGTTCTCAGCGCTTGCGGTCCTTTCAGACTTCTGTGAGGGTCATCTGCTGAATCAGCGCAGCCTTGTGCGTACGCCTCCAAACCCTAAACCCCAAAAGCGCTGACCTGGAGAGTCTTCCCATCCATCTCCTTGTAAAGACGATGGGACGGCTGCCTTCCCCAAGTTAAGCTTAGAAGGAGAGTGGGCCGCAAGCTTCGTTTCTAGCGCTTCATCCTGACACTCGCTCGCCAGGGCAACATAGTTCGCGGACAGCTGCTTTTCAAGAGTCCCAGCAGCACTGCTTCTCACCCAAGGCGTTCTCCCGAAGACGAACCCAACCATCAGAACACGAAGCCGTACTGAGTTCGACTTTATGCACTCGTCAAATAAGCTGTGCAGACGAAGGTTGGAACGGGTGCGAAGAGTTTTTGGACCTCTTTGGGATGATTGGGCGGTCCACGGTTTTGCACTCTTCTTGCTGACACCCCGGGAAACCAACCAGTCTTCCACTTCTGAGGGCTCGTATATGATCGAACACAGACACACCATGTTACCGCCTGATATTGAACTCATCAACACAGAGTCTTTGGGTCGGCGAGTCTTACCTATGCGCCGAGGAAGCACTGTGCGCAGCCTGTTACTCAGCTGTTTGCCAGTCCGGCTTCGGCTTCGGAAAGGGTTACAGAAGACACCATCCAATTACAATAGAGCTTCTTTTTGGATGGTTGAGGGCTTCAAGACGTGTTTCCGCAACTTGCAGCCTAGTTCCGGGAACTGGACGTAAGCTGCCGTTGGAGAAGACGTCGAGGTTCAGATGAAACAAGTGAGGTAGATAATTAGGTGCTGTATTAGTGGCGTCCGGCACTTGTTCGGCTCCGTCTGCTCCAAACTCAAACAAGTTGTGTGCCAACCTTTCCATACATCGACCCACCAAGCATCCGAAGCCATGACACCCAACCTGCCAATCCCTTAGCCTTCCTGGAGAGCTCACAGCCGTAAAGCTGTTTTTTCGAACGGCACCCTTCGTTGCTGATTGCTATGCAGCCACCAGGTGCCACACGATCCGAAGAGATGGCACCAACCCGTACGGCAGGAGACTTACAGAATGGCATTTTGGGCTTGGGTCTTGTCGTGTAGATCGTCTTGGAAGCCAAGGCAGGTCTAGGCTAGTTTGTATTATTGAGTGGCTACGACAGAGCTCCTGTCTTGAAAACCACCAGGAATCTGAAAGGTGTCTCGGTCCCGAGGCACCCTGGCTGGACCCAACCTTTATGGCGTCATGGGGCGAACGGCAGCGATGAATCAGCGTACCGGCAAGGGCCTTTCATGGTTCTGGGCTTTTGAGCTGCAGGTTCAAGGTTTTGCAGGCAGAACTCAGAGTCTCGGAGTACGTATTAGTCTCGGTGTCGTTGTTGGGACCTGCGGACTAAATTTGAGATTCGGACTTGAAGGACTCATGGAGACCAAAAGGAGCAAGAGGTATGACGAGTTCAGGGATTGATTTCTCTCCGACAGAACGGTCGGAGGTTGGAGGTTGGAGAATATGGCTCATGGTATGACCATACGGAGATGGTGTTTGTGTGTGTGTGGCTTCGGAAGAAGTACAAGGCCTGAGCCTAGTATGACCACGGTTCTTGGCTTTCACAGTGCCTGACTTGAGTTCCGCACGGTGCAATCACGCAGTACATCTGGCTAGCTCTGATATCGGTGCCTAAACGCTTAAAGTGGCGTCTAGTCTCATGCAACAAAATCCGTAGTCCTATAGGCTGTTCTTGCATCCTGACCGTGCGATGCTCCATCGACCTCGAAGCTGCATGTCCCCGCCAAAGCCTTTGTCTGCGAAGGTTGGGTCAAGCACTCATCGAAGCTGGAATCCAGTGGCATTCTGTGGACAGAGAGGCCGTTCCGATCTTCGTCGGATGTTATTTTGACCGTGGGCTCTGAAGGTGCACTTACATGGCACCGCGAATATTACACCTCACCGAAGTTGCATTGCTGGGTTACCGCAACGACTAGTTCCGTATTTACGCCGAGAAGTACACGAGCCAGCGCCATGATCATCGGGTCTCTTGGCCTGCTAGTGTAGCATTTGTCAGAGTTGTTCAGCGAGCTAGGTGTGAGGCATGCATCCATCCGTGAACCACAAAATTTGCTCACATGTTTCTATGGTGCTCAATCACCCAAGGTCTTCCGCTAAAGCACAGCCGGTTCAGGAACATGATGGCCTTCCTGAAGAATCCCCGTGCCTTCGCGGGAGGCAGAGTAACGGACTTGGCTTCCATATCCCAGTATCTTGAGATTTCAGTCTCAAGAGCTCCTATCCTTGGGTTTTCGGCATCCGGACTTGCACCGTTTGTTGTAGGCTGTCAGACAGCCTTGAAGCGGCAGCCCTGAATGCAGTTCGCTTCAGATAGAAGTCACCAGACGCTCCCACTGCAGGCTTGCTGGGTGCAGCACTAAGAGTCGTGTTCATGTTTCACAGCCGCCTCTATCCACCATACACCTGGAAGTTTAACACTGCGACATAGTCTAGGACAGCCATTGAACTTTTGGTTTTGTAGCAGCAGCTGAGGAGCGATCCGTCCTGGTTCCCTTCAGACGCCTGCAAGCGATATCATACTTTAGAGAAGCCAACCTTGACTGGTATGGGTTTGCGCGAGGAGTTAGATTGCGTTTCACGCTTAGAAGATACTGTCTGCACGAGTTCCTGATTGACAATTCCAGCTCGATGAGGGCTTCGCACTACGTTGCAGGGGTCATCAACATGAATTTCCGCGGAATCGAAAGCTGGCAGGACTGGCGGGGCTCTGTGAAAGTTCGTATCCGTCATTCCTCACATGCCACCATCGTTATGCGAGTTTCGGCACTTCCGTCTGTCCCTCCCTTCATCCCTCTGTCTCTCCCTACCTGCCTGCCTGTCTGTCCGTCCGTCTGTC